TGGCGAGTACAAGTAGAAGTCCCTGATTCCAGCGGGAGGTAGCTGATGAATGCTGCTTTGTAAACCTCCCCAAGTGGAGGCTCGGAGTGCCAACTCGGCAACTGGTAACTGTACAGGAGCCGGCCATTGTGGATTAGGGTTAACAGGAGGGTCAGGGAGAGCTGGGTGCATCTGAGGATTGTTGCACGCGATAGCTTGATCTCGCAGTTGCTCATGATCTAGCACTCGCACAGCAGGTGCCCCTTCACCTCCACCTTGTGGAAGCTCCTCAACTAGATCCTCATAGGTCAATACCCTGGGGGGGGGCATCGGGCCCAGGCGAGGGTGGCGGAGCCACATGAAGTTCTTCAGGGAGTGGTACTTCTACGACATCATCAGCATACTGAAACCGCATGACTGGTCGCTGAGGCCTCTGAGGCTCAAACTCGGGTTCTTCTCTGTACACTCTTTGTCCTACTGGCCTCTGGCGAAGCTGCGGTGGTTGGGGGGTAGGACTAGGAGGGCGAGGCGGAGGATCTACGACTTCCGTTAGGTCATCTTCGTCATCAGGTTGTGCTTCGGACAGCACATCCGCTTCCTCCTCGGGTTCGTCAAAGCTTCTCCGAAGCCACCAAGCGCTAGACAAAACCCTAAAACCCTGAACAAGCTTCCTACTCAACCATTTCGCTCCTTCCCACAGAACGATACTGCAGATAGCTACCATACCAAGCAGCGCCCAGAACTCCCACTCATGAGTATTGCTTTCGTGTGAGCGGCCTGCGGCTCCTTCAACGACACCAACACACAGTAGCAAGGTCAGCGAAGCAATGGTAGACGTGTGAACCCTCACAGAGCTAGCCGTTGCAGGAGTCGCAACATCACAAGTCAAACTAGACAAGCCAAGTATCGCAATCAACTCCCTCAGCCTACTCATAGGCACACTCTTTGTCCCCAGGTCAGCTCCATTGCTGACCCCTGGAACGTAACCTATGCCAACATTGTCAGCCTGAAACTCCTCCTTGAGGGCAGCAGCCCGTATTCTAAGATGTCTTGTACGCCACGACGCATTATCTACTGTGATGATCTGCAGGGCTGCCTTGTTGTCGTTTAGAACCGTGAGGCGAACATTACACCCAAACAGCTCTGATGCCAAATATTGATGTGCCCTACCGAGCTGATATCCGGTCATAGTGCTGAGTAGCTCAGCCTCAGCTGTAGATTGGGCGGTGAAGGGCTGCTTGCTCGACAGCCACGTGACCAAACACCCATCCTGATATGCTATGGCACACTCGTGGGAACGCCCCGCCGCTGGGGCAAAAGATGCATCAGTGTGCACGGTGATGTGATGCAAGGCCTCTGATGCTATGCCACATGACAGCTCCTGGGTACGATCATCCGCGCTGTAGGCCAGCACCGTATCTACGGTGTTGAAAACGTACCCTAAAAGGTGTTCAATGTAAGGCAGCGTGCCAGTGGGATTTCGAGACATGCTAGATGCCAACTTGCTTACACCAAACATCAAATCAGGCCTTGTCCTCATAGCTACCCAGAGTACTTTACCTAGCATACCCTGACACGACCGGAGTGCACTTGGGTCTCGTTCCTCAGGGCTCACCTCAGGAATTTCGATGTTACCAGGCGGCAACGGCACACACTGCATCTTGATGTGTGGGTACCTAGTCTGGAGATCACGAATGTAACCTTGTTGGCCCAACAGAAGTTGATCACCCTTCCACGCGAACTCAATCCCAAAGAAAGCCGCAGTGCCCTGAGATAAATCCGGAATTTCCTTTACCGAACCTGTTTCCCAAGTGGCTCGAAACTTGTTGACAAGAGCCAAAGCGAACACCCTCTGACCCATAATAAAAAGGTCGTCGACGTAGACTGCAATCCACGCCAACGCCTGTCCAGGCTCACAGTCCTTACTGACATTGGGCAACCTAAGCGACCACACCTGGGAATCAGCAGCCGATGGCACTAGTACCATTTCCTTACCAATCGCCTCCCGAAGCATCGGATCAAGTGTGGACAGTTCAACCTCCGTGAAATCCGAAAGTGAAACCGAAATCCTCATGTCAGTAATCGTTTGGTCCCGTGTGATACCCCAGTCCCTAGGTGATTGAGGCAGGCCGTAAACGGCACGGAGACACAGATAGAACTCGTCTTTATCGGCGAGGCCGTGTGCGATCAAGACTTTGGGCGGACGAACAGCAATGAGCTCCGTAGGATTGTCAGTGGGTGTTGGTGCGGGCGCCGTCCGAGGTTTGAATGGGTCTAACAGCAGACTATTCAAAAAGGCGGTTTTAATGTCAAGGATGTAGCCGGCCCACTTGGCCTTAGCACCTTGTGCCGCGATTTGCCGAACGTGTGCAACCTCACATCCTGCAGCATACAATGACGCTTTCTGCTGACCGCTGCCATCTTCGCCCCAACCCTCTGGAACAAAGTTCCCACAAATAACAATCCTTGTTTCCGCTTCAGCTGACCCTCTCCACCGACTGAAATACTTGTACACTTCTGGTAACGGCACGGTATGCGTACTTAGCACCTCACAGTCCGGTAAGAGGGAGTACTCAATCTCAGATGGGACTTGTGCTGCTGCCTTATCTTGAGCTTGCAACAACCTTTTAACCGCATGAACCAAAGTTGATTCAGCAACATCCCGATCATCAGACCCTTCGGGCTCGCGGCTTAAGGACTTACTCTCTCGTGCAATCAACGCCTTTAAGCTAAGAGCACGACTTTCGCAATCCTCAAAGCCCGCACTCCCCGATGAGCCAAGACTCTCAGCATCACCACTTTGGGGGCAACCGTCAGGAAAACCAAACTCTGAAGCTTCCAAAACAACAGAGTCAACACCCCAATCAAATCCCCCAAACTCTCCAACACCAATGGCTTCACAGTCATCGCCGCAAAACCTCAACACCGGGTGCCTCGCGAATGCCGTCATCATGAGCATCGAAACCTCCAGTCCCGACATTCAGCACTCCCCCGGACCCATTGACCCGCTGCCCCGCTAATGTGTTCCCTACCGGGGCGGCCAAATTAGCTTCACAGGGCACCTCAAGAGCGTCATCGAAACCTCCAGTCTCGGCATCCAACGCTCCCGCGAATCCATTAACCCGCTGCCCCGCTAATGTGTTCCTTACCGGGGCGGCCGCAACCGACTCACTGTTGTTCGGCGGACCGCTACCGAAAGCTGCGGACTTAGTCACATCGCGCTCACACACCGAGCAAAGTCCTACCACATCCCTACGACATGCACTGCAGGACCATCCAAACCCTTGTTCACCTAGACATGTCTTTATCTCGCCAGCCGGAGCCGGGTCAACACACGGAATCTCCCGCGCCCCAACTTCATAACTCCCCGCTCCTACGCCGGCCGGAGCCGGGAAGTAACCTACAACTGATTTCACATCCAACCCACTTGACCCCTCAGGTTCATCGCCCCAAGGCTCAACAATGCTCTCCAGCACCTCAGCAAAAGATACATGCTTGTTTAAGTTTATGTTATTTTTATAGGGGGTTTTGTGATTTTTGTTTTGTTTTGGGTTTTCGGCGTCATCACGAACACCATCCACATGTGTGGGGAAAACTGAATCAACACCTGAAAAACTGAATTTATGATTGGGGTACTCTCCCCCCTCCCGAGATTCGGGAGACTGCACCTCGAAAGGTAATGGAAAACCTGATGCGCCAAGTTGCTCGCGCTCGGCTGCGGTAAGCAGCAATGAACCCTTAACGGAAAACCCAGCTAGCAAAACCCTGCTCCCTTCCGTCCACGGCTCCGAGCTGTGCCAGCGATGAGGGTTTAACAAAAGCGGTTCATATTGCTGCAAAGCCACTACTCTCCCCCGAACCCGTAAGCCCTGCTTAACCTCTCTCACATCATCTCCCTCGCAGTCTTCAATCCAAATACCGCCACCGTCACGCGGCACCTGTAAAGGAATGACGATGTTGTTTTGAGGAAGGTTGTACTTATCTTTATGGGCTGGGGCACAGGTCTGAGCGAGACATGCGATACTAGTGAAACGTGCCGTGGGCACAACATGTTTGATCATTCGAATGGCCAATGCTGTCAAGCCTGGGAACATCGTAGTACACGCCGTAATCCCTTTCAAACCCCCGCGACTGTAAGCCCCTAATACGATTGCACATCCCGCTGATGACCGATGGGTTCTGCCTTGACGGGCTTCCAACACCATGCTAGAGGTAAGCAGGGCAGACGAGGCTTGTGGAAGGTTCAAAGTATCACCTCCGGCCAGAAACGATGCAGCTTCATCCTGAGCATGCTTGTTACGCAATTTGTCGCGGCTTGCAGCGGTCAACTTACGAACTACAGCTGCCGGGGACTTGTGACGATGCCGTCTAGGCGGGGGAATGGGGGCATCAGCAACTTCAACATCAACAGGAGCTTCAGCCTCATCCGGTATTGGGGCTTGCACTCCGCTAATGATGACCTTGGCATTCCTAAGACTGCCATCCTCAAGCCTCACCACATAAGCGTGTTCAACCTCTTTGGCAGGAGCCAACACCTTAGCAGGAACCGCTCTAAACCCCCATTCTTTAGCCTTCCACGACCTTTCCTGGATATGCACTTGGCTGTTGAAGGGTTTGATGGGCTCCGTCTTCCATCCGAGCCGGTGAAACGCAAGAGACCTATGTTGTAAAGTACAATGCCGAATCGCAAATGCCCAGTCCTGCCACCCGAGACCTGAAGCCCTCAACAGCGTCCTCGCGCGACCCTTCAATACTCCGATGGCATTCTGTTCGTTTGTAACCTAGTGCACGTAGTCCCAAGTAGAGTGTGTAGAGTAATCACAAGAACACATGAAACATGTGTGTGAACCGCGACACGAAGGCTTAAGCAAGTCAGCCCGCGAAGTGAGAAAAGTGTGTTTGTGAGTAGAGTGGGAAGGAAGGCTTGAGAAGCCTTTAGTTTCAACATGGTAGCGGAGCTCCCTGATTCAGACCTCTTGGGAGCGATGAAGCTATCACAGGAACAACAGGTAGCTGTCGCCATGGTTTCCTTGGCTTTGGCTTTTTCGCTGATGTGTCTGGCGAGAAGCTTTGTGAAAGAACTTGTGAGAAAGGAGACAGTGGAGCGCGTTGCTCCGGCTGAGGAAGAGCTACCAGAACTCTGGTACTCGCCTTACGGAGAGAGGACCCACACTTCAGGAAGATGTCATGGCCTCAGGAACGCAACCAGTGTACACCGAGTACTACCATGCAAGTACTGTTGCCCCGGTGGACTTCGATCCCGGGAACAACGCACCTTCGAGTACAAGAGAACCTTTTTGGAAGCAGCAGGAAAGTACCTTTGGCTAAAAGTCTTCATGGTTGTGGTTCTCATGGGCATGTCATGGTTCATGGTGTTTGAAGTGAACGAGACCTACGGCTACCCGTTGGCCACGAACCGCATGCTGAACTACAGGAACAAGGTCCTCAGCCTCGACAACAAGAACCCCAAGAAGAAGCATGTGATAAAGGAGATTACCCCAGCGGATGTTGTACCTGCCGGGAAGAGCCAAGAAGGTGATCACACAGAACTTTTCACGTTGTGGTCGCATCTACATGAGCCCAATACCGAACCGAGAACGAGAACGAGATCAACGTCACGAGCTACCTCAAGAAGACGAACGTGTACTCCGAGTTCTACAAGAACAAAAGAAAAGGAACAAAGTTGCAACTACAGTTTTCATGAAGGTGATGTCGCGGAGTATAACGAGAACCTAAAGAACGAAGAAGTGCCCCACGTGAACTACTACAAGAACCTTGTGTTTGAGTTGGTTTTGGAGTTTCAAAAGTACCTTGCGAAAGCAGGAAGAAGAATTGAGCCCGTCGTGAGCTACGTCGTGCGCACGTGTCACCCAGTACTACTTCTACTTGGGACCCCGCTTGGTATGGTGACTTGGATCTACCTGTATTTTTGGGTCAGAGTTAAGCAAACAAAAAGAGAACAGTTGAAGAAGAAGGTTTCGAGAAGGAAGTTGCACAGGTCAGTTTGCAGCGTTCTTTTCAAGAAGCGAGTCTGGTTGCATGTTGTGTTGCTTTACAGTCACATGCAGAGTGCAGTTGCAATGGAGGAAGCCTTGCAAAGGCTTACGGACCTCACTGCCCAAAACACACAACAGATACAAGCACTTGCCCAAGCAATGAACAGTCAGCAAGCGCAGGCAGGTACCGCTTCACAACAACTACAGGAACTCGCGCAGTCAGTTTCACAACAGCAAAGAGCAATTACAGAAGCAACCCAAGCAACCAACACAGCGTTGTCACAACAAGCAGAGCTTACTGCAAACGCGGTTGCAGCAACAGGAAAGCTTACAGCAGACGCAGTTATAGCACTGTCGCAGCACGCAGAGTCAAGAAGGCCAGGAGAGATCGACCTCCACAAGATGATCAAATCTCCAGAAGTCTTTGGCCCTACTACATACAAGGAAGAGCGTGATGGTTTTCTAGAGTTTCGGTTGAAGCTGAGAAGTTGGATAGGCGCTCTCAACAACGACATCCTTGAGAAGATCAACGCAGTCGAGATGGATAGAAGAGAAGCATCATGGGAATGGAGCAAACTTAACCCAGGTGAACAAGCACTTTCAAGAAAGCTACATTCCATTCTCACCAGCTATACACGTGGTCGTCCTCTACGAACTCTAAAGCAAGTACCCAACGAGAACGGCTTTGAAGCATGGAGGTTGTTGGTGGAGGAACATCAGCCTCACAACCGTGCACGTTCTCTACAACTACTTAACGGAGTTCTTCACTACAGGTTCGACAAGCAAAGGTCAACACAAGAAAATATTCTGAAGTTTGAGGAGTTGATTGAGGAGTACGAGAGAGCTAGTGGAGACCTTGTTGCGGACGACATGAAGATTTCAATCATCCTTGGAGGAACCGAAGGGAACATGAGACAACATCTTCTACTCAACCAGAAAGAGACCACAAAGTACGGTACACTACGACAGTACCTCCTCTCCTACGAGCAAGCAGCAAGGTGGACTACCACAGACCTTATCAACTCAGGAAAGGACCACCAAGGACAAGCAGACATGGATGTTTCACGAGTGGAATGGTGGAATAAAGGCAAAGGAAAAGATAAAGGGAAAGGAAAGAAAGGAAAAGGATTTGGCAAGTACAACAAAGGCAAAGGCTTCGGCAAAGGAAAAGGAAAAGGAGAAAGCCAGTACTACTACAAAGGCCGAGGAAAAGGAAAAGGACGAGGAAAAGGAAAAGGCAGAGGCCGAGGATATGGCAAAGGCGGGGGAAAAGGCTACAGCAGCAAAGGAAAAGGTAAAGGCTACAACAACCCAGGAATTGGTGTTTGTCATTACTGCCAAAAGCCTGGACACTACGAAGCCAAATTGCAGACTCAAGCAGAGAGACATGCAGCAGAAGGTCAGGAACGCACAGGAGGAAGACGAGCAAAGCGTCAGGACACAGCCTACTACAGTTCCAAGCAGTAGCGCTTCGGCAGCCACAACAACAAGAACTACAAGCGCGAAGTCTACAGCTAAGCCAACAGTTCGGCAGATCGCGATGTACCACATGGACAACGATCCCGTCACGTACCCTGAAGTTTTTGAACTTGACGAAGACGAAGAAGAGCTCGAGATCGAGTACTTTGGAAGAGTCTTGAGAGTGACGGAAGCTGAAGAGTTTGTTTTGTCAGAAGGAGAAGAGAGCGAAGAAGAACAAGAAGATCCTCTACTAAACTGGTACCTTGGACGTGAAGCACTACCACCACAAGAAGTTCTCTCAGTACGCGTTGTAGAGGAAGAGTTTTTCCAGGAAAGTGATCTTCACCAAAGAATCGAAGTTATCCTGGATTCTGGCGCAGACGTTTCTCTTGTGCCCTCTTGGCTCGGAAAAGAAGGAACCCCTTTGAAGGTTCGCCCTTCGTCCATTCAGGACGCACAAGGAAAGGCAATAAAGACGGAAGGCAGAAGGATGCTGAACTTAACGTTCTTTGATGACGACGGAAGCTTTTGTCGCATCCAGGAAGCCTTCACCGTTGCCTCGGTGATCAACCCGCTGATGGCCATAGGCAAGCTGTTTCGAGAAGGCTGGGAGTTGCGAGTGAACGAAGAAGAAGGTATGTGTCTTACAGATGGAAGCTCAAGAATACCAGTGCATCTCCACAAGAACAGCTTGGCAGCCTACGCCTACGTACAAACTCCTTCAAGAAGCAGAAGTTACAGCAGCAACAACTACAAGATGGTTCGCACAGTTGTTCAGCTCAACAAGCACGTTCAGGAAGCAGTGAACAGAGAAGAACCTGGTTGGCACAACACAGACAGCATGGTGATTGTGAAGTATGCCACTCAAAGCAGCTATGAGAACCCGTCTCTCATGTATAGCCCTACGCACTTTCCGTACAGAAGCACTTTGGTGAAAGAAGAGAGAGGATGGAGAGCAGTTGAAGTTTCAAGAAAGTACTCCGAGAAGGCAGACCCTTTTGAAGAGTTTGCAGAAGGAGAAAAGGAAGTGGTTACAGCCATTTCAGCAAAGCCAATTCCACTTTGGATCCTTGGCACCCCTTACGCAGCTGGAGATCGAGCAGACCAAGAAAGTCATGGTCGTGACTACTGGAGAATGGACCTCGAGAAGGGAGAAGTTGTTCGTCACCACGTAGTACCAAGAACTGTACTGTTTGACCCGACAGGAGTTGCCAACTGTCCTGTCCTCCTTGGAGATCTCGAGAACAGCAGGTATACCCAAGGAGACTGCATTTACAGTACAGAGATCTACGAACACAGCGACGACTGGAGAGCAGACCGCCTACCTCTACGTGAACACTTCCGTTTACCGTGGTTTGGTCAAACAAGGTTCCGTGTGAAGCCAGGAGTTGCTGAAGACCTGAAGGCAGAAGCTGCAGCAGAGGAGCTAAAGACGAAGAAAGAAGAGCACTACCAAGAGAAGGAAGATTCAGCAGCACCACCAGCAGCAGAAGAGAGCAAAGATGAGGAGATGAGAGAAGCACAAGCAGATCAAGAAGCACCACAAGAAGTTGTTGAAGTTTTGGAGGAAAGCTTCTACCACGAAGGCGTCGAGTACACAGCGCAGAAAAGCAGTCTTAAGGAACTACAAGCACTTTGCAGAGAGTACAGAGTGAAGACAACAGGAAGCAAGAAGCAGCTCTTGAAGAGACTCGCCACAGCAGTCAGAGAAGAAAGGCTCAGCACGCAACACAAGGAACAACGGGAACACCACCAAGCATACCACCTAGCACCGCCACAGGAACCAACGGAAGAGGAGAGAGCGTACCACAACTTGACGCACCTTCCGTATCAGCCTTGGTGTCCCCATTGCGTTGCTATGAAAGCACGAGAAGACAACCACAAGAAAGGATTGAGCAAGCCAAGCAGCTCTACGGATTCCGCGAAGCCCGTCATCAGTTTTGACTTTTGCTATACAAGCACCACAGGAAGTGAAGAACCACCAGCAGTGACTCTTGTCGCTGTGGACAGCTGGAGCAAGGCAGTTCTTTCGGTGCCCTGCAAGAGGAAAGGAGGTGCAGGAAGCACGACGCATCTCGCGGAAGCACTCGTGCAGTTCACCACGCAGCTCGGGTACAACACCCTCGTTTTCAAAGCAGACAACGAGAACGCAGCCAAAGCACTCAAGGACAAAGTACAGAAAGTACGCAGCAGCCTTGGACTTTCTACAACACTACAGGAAAGCATTCCTTACGACCACGAAAGCAATGGAGCCGCAGAAAGAGCAATACAAACAGTACGGAGGCAAGCGAACACCATTCTCGATGAGCTCAGAGAAAGAACACAGCTGGCAATACCACACGAGCACGCAGTAGTAAGCTGGGCGTTTAGACACGCCTGCTGGCTACTCAACAGGTTCGCAGTGAGCAGCTCCACAGGAAGAACGCCACAGGAAGTTATCCACGGATACCCCTACTCAGGGAAACTTGTACCCTTTGGTACTGTTGTGATGGCGAAGAGGTTGAAGATTAAGAAGAAAGGTGACAGGATATGGAACGCAGGAATATTTTTAGGCAAGACAGAGCAAGACACATGGATCGTTGCACAGCCTGATGGCATACATATCACACGCAGCGTGAGACCACTACCAGAACAGTACGACTCCAAAAGAACAAGCAGCATAGAGGTCCATACCTGGAACCTCAACACACCACTCCTTGGAGCAAGAGTACTTCCAGAGAAGAAGCAAAGACAACGACCACAGCTAAGCATCCTGCCCCCTGTTGCCGAGGAAGAACGCGAACAGCTCGAGAACGACGAGGCCGCTAGCGACCCTCCGAGTTCGGAGGACAGCAGTGAAGAGCAGCAGCGAGCACTTGAAGACAGAGAGGAACAAAGCGAAGGCAGCAGCATGAGTGTGACGAGAGACAGAAAGAGAAGAGCTGAGGTTGATGACGACACCCTTTTGGAGGAACTCAGAGCAGTTGAACCACTCACAGCCTCAGCAGAAGCACTTTCAGCACCAGCTGAACCACGAGCAGAAGCAAGCAAGCACAGCCTTGAGCCTGAGGAACCAAGCTCACCCAGCAAGCTACGAAAGCAGGTCAACAGAGCAGAGGAAACAGACGGTTACCTCAACATGCCTCATGATGATGAAGTCTACGAAGCAGATGATGTGTTTGTGTACGACTCGGAAGAAGAAGAAGAGGATACAGAGAGTGACCCAACGGAAGTTTCTACCAAGGTCCCTGTCGAGTTCTTCGACGAGGAGAAAGGACCACCGAACGTGGATCCGGCTTTTCTTCAGAAGTTGGATGATGAAGCTACAGTCAAAGAAATCAAGAGGTTAACAAAGATGGGAGTTATTTCGTTGGTTTCTACGGACCCTCAGGAAGCAACTGAGAACGTACCTCTGGTAGACTCAGAACAAGAACTTCACAAGTGGTTGACAACAAAGTTGGTGAAAGATTGGAGGTTCAGAGAAGCTACAGGTTTTGAAGCTGAAGAAGCCAAAGAAGGAACAACAAAGCCCAAGCAGATTCAAAGATGCTGGCAACGACGTGCCAGACTAGTAGCCAGAGAATACAAGACAGAAGGAAAAAGGGAAGATATATTTTCTCCTGCGACAAGCCCAGGAATTACAAAACTGGTGCCCATGCTGGCTCTCGCCAACCATTGGGCGATCTACAGTGTCGACGTGAAGGACGCGTTTTTACAAGTCCCTCAAAGAACACCTTGTTTGTGTCGAGTACCCGAAGAAGCAGCTCACGTCGTACAAGCAATGCAGGAACAACAAGAACGCAGCCCTGGAACTTGGTGTTGGAAGTTAGGAAGAGTTTTGCCAGGTCAACGCGACGCATCCAGTCTTTGGTCAGACTTTTGTGATGGACTTTTGGTGGAAGAGAAGTTTGAGCGTTGTACAGCAGTTCCAGCACTTTACCGTCTTCTACGACAAGGAAAAGTGGTTGCAGTTTGCATTGTGCATGTAGATGACGTGCAGTTTGCAGGAAAGAAGGAAGTCATTGAACCAGTCCTCAAGAACCTCAAGAAGAAAATGAACCTACAAGTTGAAGGACCTCTTCTGAACGAGGAAGACTACGAGAAAGGATTTTCTGAGGAGACCGTGAAGTTTCTCAAAAGGAAGTACACGTACGAACAACATGAACTACGAGTACATAGCGATAGCAAGTACGTGAAGAAACTCGTGGAGATCCTCAAGCTGGAGAAGAAGAAGGCCAAGAACTCACCCTGCACACCGGCTAGTCAGGAACCTGACGTATCCCAAGAACTGGACGAGGAATACTCGAGAACGTACAGAAGTTGTGTCGGCATTTTGTTGTACGTGGCGCACGACCGTCCGGACATTCAGTTCGCAGTACGTAGCCTAAGTACTGCCATGACGAAGCCAACGGAACGCAAAAGAAAGGAGTTGGAGCACTTGGCGCTCTACCTCAAAGGAACGTCAGACTACGCCGTTACGTACCACAGGAACAGCCCAGGAACGTCAGCTCTACGTCACCGCGCCGAAGAACCACAAGAACTACAAGAACCTCGAGAACAACCACGCGAACGTTTGCTCGAAGTTTTCAGCGACTCCGACTGGGCCGGAGACAAGCAGACTAGGAAGTCAGTGAGTTGCGCCATGTTCTACCTGGACGGTGCATATTTCTACAGCTACAGCAGGACACAGAAGTCAATAGCATTATCTTCAGCAGAAGCAGAATACATGGCACTTACTGGAGCAGCAAGCGAAGGAATAGGTTTACACGCAGCAGTTCGTTTCCTTACAGGAGAACGAGTACTACTCAAAGCATACACAGACAGTTCCGCATGCCGCGGAATCACAAACCGCCAAGGAACAGGAAGAGTCAAGCACTTGCAGATTCGGTTACTTTGGCTACAAGCAGCAATACGCGAAGGCAAGCTTACTGTACACGCAGTCGGTACAAAGGAAAACACAGCAGACCTAGGAACAAAGCCTCTCAGCACGAAAAGAGTGAAGTTTCTCCTGAACATGATCGGCATGTGCAACAGCGAAGGAAGAGTTGGAGAGCAAGAGCGAGAGGAAGAAGAAAAGGCGCAAGTGGTGAGAAGACTCGAGAAGATCATGAAGAACAAAAGCAGCATGTTGTTTGCACTTTCGAGTTTGTTTGGAAAGACTGAGGCAGCCTACGTACCTTTCGCCGCAGCTCAAGAAGTAGCAAGCCCACAAGAAGTCCCAAGCAGTCCTGGAAGCATGTCGCTTCTGGAAGTCCTGGTGACGCTCGCCATGGTGTGCATGGCGGCATGGTTTGTCGTGAACGAGATGAGAAAGCCGCAGCAGCACAAGAAGCCGAAGAGAGAAGAGAGGAGCAGCGGTGAAGAAGAGGAAAGCAGCTCAGGAAGCAGAAGTGGAGAGAAGAAGAAGAAGAAGAAGAACCGAAGGAAGAAGAAAGACGAAGCTCCTGCCGCTCAGGTGAACTACGACGTGGACTCCTTCGACGAGGCAAAGAAAGAATTGACAGAGAGAGCAGAGAAGTTGAAGAAGGTTGAAGAAAGCCTGGAGAAGGAAAAGGAGGAGTTCGGAAACCAAAAGTCAGAGTTTGAGGAGACAGTGAAAAGGTTTTTGAAGAAGCAGAAGGAGGTGAAGGAAAAGGAAGACAAAGTTACAGAAAGAGAAGAGAAGTTAGAGAAAGACCAAGAGACCCTCCAAGAACAAGCCAAGGTCTTAAGCGAGAAGGAGACAGCCCTTGAAGAAGCTGAGGAGAACGTCAAAGCAAAGGAAGCAGAGGTTGAAAAGAAGAAGAAAGAGGCAGAGAAGAAAGAGAGAAAAGCCCAGGAAAGAACCGCCGGCTACGACCAGGAGAGAGAAGAGTACGCCAAGAAGTACGTTGACGACGCGAAGAAGGACTTGGAGAGAGAGCTTAAAGTGCTAAAGCAAGAAGAGAAAGTAAGGAACCAGAAGCTCGACGACCTCCAGTACGACTACAAGAGCCTCAAGGACGACTACCAGTACTTCAAAGGTTACTCACAGGAAGTGGACGCACTTCTACTTGCAGCTAAGGACAAGATCGTGAAGTACAAGAAGAAGGTCAAAATCCTCAAGGAAACCATAGGTGCAGCCCTGCCTGGAAGCGAAGGTGAAGAAGAGACAGAAGAAGCGTACAAGAGCAAAGCAGAAGAAGAGAAAGAGAGGAAAGAAGCGCAAGCAAAAGAGGAAGAGAAGAAGAAAGGAAAAAGGCCAAAGCAGGTAGAGACAGAAGACCAAGAAGAGAAGCCGTCAAGCAACCAAGGAGACGAAGCTACCGTCGACCCGAACGACATAGCCGAGTTCACGCAGCTTGGCTACGTGTGGGAGTTCAACAAGAAAACGCAAGAGTACCGCGCGAAGTGCGAGGACAAGAAAGGAAGCACGAGAATCAAGAACGCTCCGGTGAAAGGTCGCCTCCTTTGGAACAAGGTGACGGAGTGCTACAGAAAACACAACATTTGGTTTACAGACGGAAAGGAATTGGATAAATTCCTCGAGACCAAGGGGAACGAGAAGATCGAGGAAGAGGTGCAGCGACGCATCGGCGTGAAGGGCAAGAGCGACAACACAGGAAGCAAGGGAAAAGGCCCTTCCTGGGACGACGGACGCAACGACGGTTGGTGGTACAACGACCAGTGGAACAACGAGAACTGGAACACCAACGACGACGGCAGCAACTGGTACGAGAACGCGAACCCGAACAACAAAGGCTACTGGCAATCGCCAGAAGAGTGGGCGCAGCAGAACCAGTGGGACCAGTGGACACCCAAAGGAAAGGGTAAAGGCAAGAAGTCCAAGAACTGGGTGCAGACCCAGTGAAAGAATCCCGAGAAGGGATGATCGAGCAGGTCAAGCAGTGAACGCTTGTACATATGTACATAGCTAAGCAACGTAAGACTTGATGTATACTAGCAGAAGAATTCATGTACAAAGTGTGAGCAAATGTATAGACGTAGCAAACTGGGGCAGTAAGCCTAGGTAAGCTACAACCTTCCAAAGTCTCACAAGAAGTTTCACAGAAGGCAGGTTAGGAAGGTACAAGGGCCAGAAGAGGCAAGAAGCCGGAGAAGCCAAGAACAAAGAGAAGAAGCCCGAAAGAAGAAAAGCCCGTAGGCTACGTAAGGGCAGAAGGAAACCGGGGTACGGGCCTCCCGGCAAAGAGTCCATAGGCTGGACCTAACTAGAACGTAGCTGTATATACAGAGTAGGTTTTTCAAGAAGGCCAATGTACAGACATAGAAGGCCTAAGTAGCAACAGGGCAGGAGTGCAGCTAGGTCGCTAGGTAAAAGACCAAGAACAACGGAGACGAAAGTCCCTAGCAAAAGCACTGTACAGAAAGCCCTAGCAGTTTCCAAGAACACCCTAGGAACCCGCAAGAACTTTCTGAGGCGGGGTGTTCGTTTGTAACCTAGTGCACGTAGTCCCAAGTAGAGTGTGTAGAGTAATCACAAGAGCACATGAAACATGTGTGTGAACCGCGACACGAAGGCTTAAGCAAGTCAGCCCGCGAAGTGAGAAAAGTGTGTTTGTGAGTAGAGTGGGAAGGAAGGCTTGAGAAGCCTTTAGTTTCAACACATTCTCCACTCTCCCATTGGAGCGGAAATCATCAGCTCCCGTACAACTTTTGACGAACCCCTGATCGGAGCACCAACCTCTAAAGCTTTTATTGCAGAACTCTCGGCCAGCATCGGTATGAACGCGTGCCACGGGCAAGCCAAGCAATGCAATTTGAGCCTCAATCCGCTTCACTGCTCTCAAAGTCTCACTCTCTGTCTTCTGATATAGGGGTTCTGTCCAAACAAGTTCGATCATCGGGACTTTGGGCAGGGCTTGCTCTTCAGACAGATCAACAGGAGGCTCATCAATGGGGGGTTGTTCGGGGTCTTCCACCTCGGGCACTTCCCATTCTTGGACTTCGGCTGGGGCCTTATGTGGAACCTCATCGGGGGCCTCATGTGGAGCCTCATCGGGAGCCTCATGTGGAGCCTCATCGGGGGCCTCATCTGGGTTTTCGGGTAAAGCTCCTATTCCACCTACAAGGCACTCAGGAAAGGTATACACAGCCACCACAAAATACCGAACTGACCTCAGTGTCTCGTCCGTTCCGCCTTTATGCGGGCCCATTAAGTCCAAACTCAACACAAACGATTCCGCCGCTGGCTGTCGCCTGTGCGGGCGACCACGAAGGCGTCCCTCCAAACAGTGCTGACAATCTGCCCTGAATGGAAGGTGGCCTTGTGCTACATGATCCTTAAATGATGTTCGAACCTTGCGCTTTGCGAGGGCCTTGAGAGACTCAGCATTATCGTGGTAGCGCTTCCAAACATCTGCCATGTTGGTGATGGCTTCGGCAGCAGCCTGTTTCAGACCGAGTGCCCAGTACGAACTCACCTCATGATGCTCATGATTCTCGCCCTTGGGGGGAATGTTGGGGTAACACGTGTTGTCAAGGATATCCCGTATCCAAAGTGGCCAGTACACTCCATGAGCAACAATCGTGGTTGGCTTGATGTCTTCATGTCCTAGGGGTCCTTGGTTTAAGTGGTATTGGCGAACTCCTAAAAACCGTTCTGTAACCTCCCACTCAGGCGTGCACCACACTGATGGCATGTTCTTTTGGGGGTCCCTTGGGCCTTCAGTGATACTTAGGAGCGGAGGGCACTCACCAAATCTCAACCTCAAGCCCGTTGCCGATACCACCTTTAGCATCAACACCCGCAGCAACAAACAATCCTCATGGAACAACCTGCTGCAATCATCAGCGCTCGCTGAGTCCAAACCCCATCTCCCTTTACCATCCCGAGAGCGAATAGCTAAGGATCCGGTGTCCCATGTGCGATCGGGCATCCTCGAGAACACCCCTTTTACTTTCCCAGCTGCCGCTAGGCGAAGCAGATATGCCATGGTATGGGGGCTATTCAAATTCTCCTTCACATCTACATCAACAACCTGGAACCCATAACGCGCAGCTGTCTGCTGAAATTGGCGTCGGCTGTCTCCACAACACAAGTTCAGGATGACCCCCTTTGACCGATGCATAGACCTACGCTTTCTACGATTCCAACATAAAGCTTCGTGCATACCTGGCAGGAAACGTGACACCTCATCACAAACGCTGTCGGGAACAGCGGGGTACATGGTCCTCAGAAGAGCCTCCGTCCACGCAGTGATGATTCCCTCACCGCCGTCATCAACTTCAATCGCCCTACACAAACCCTCCGCATAGTCAGCAACCCCCATACCCTGCATGGCCTCATGAATCAAAGCCACTCCTTCAGCATTCATGGTGGACTGCTGACCAGCATCGTTTTCCCACTGTTCAATCCTAGCGATCAAATCAAGGGCAACCCGACGATCTACTCTAGGACACCCGTCTTGAACGACCACTGGGACTCGTCCCAAAGTAGGATGCACTACAGTACAAGTTTTCTGACGCCATGCTACATGAAAGCCAAGGCGTACCAACTTGGACATGGACACAATGGGCTCGCTATCAGTTGAACCGATCAAAGTACCGAAAGCCGACACACCCATGTAGGTTTCACCTTCAGCAAGTGCAACCTTTCGCCATTCTACCGGTTCTTCACCTTCCCGTCTGGGACGAACACACAAAGTAGCGCCTGAGTCTAGCAGACCAGTCATCCTCCCAGCTTGAGGTTTAGGGTATGGGAGGCCTTCAAGGGTCGGGCAAACTCCTACAGCGATGGCCTTAACAGATGCAGCCGATGATGTTTGGGTGAGTTGTTTGATGGCAGCTGTAACTTCACGAAACATGTCCTGCCTCGCAGTATCTTCAACCTTAGCGGCGGTTTGAGCGGCATCAGCCGCTGCCCCCGCATCACCCTTGGGCTGCTCCTCAGAGCCTTTCTTCCCGCCTTTGGCGCCCTTCCCTTTACTCCCCCCGTCCCCAGTACCAGCACTACCTTTACCCCGGTATGGACACGCATCCTTGAAGTGCTCAGTAGATGAGCATGAGAAACACCGTTTGTCTCCCTTTCCAAGCGGCGAATGAGCAAAGGTACAACTACCAGCAAAGCGACACCCGCCAGGAGTCATCCAATGCTTGCATGCCGCCTTGGCTTTGGCCTTGGTTTTGCCCTTTGGGGGATCAATGGTATCCTCAACCTTCACTGCCTTAGTGGTCTTCGCGATACCGGTGTCCAAAACCTCCAACTCAGCCTGTAACATCTCAGCCAATGCACAAACCTTTTCTGATGTAGGGACCATGTCAATGTTTTGCGAATACCGAAAAGATGACAGCCTGAATTGGGTTTCCGGAAACTTGCTCAGCGCTTTACTGGTAAGAAGATCCAATCCTGCCAGAAGCAATGTGGAATCCGGCAATGAGACCTGTAGGTCTTCAGCCCTACGATACCACCTAGCCCACCGTTTCAAATGCTTAAGCGCTACGCTCACCTCGGAAGACGATTCTGGTGTAGTGAGAAACCGCAACAAAGCCGAATGCTCCTTTAAACCACCCGGCTGATAGGTGCAAAAGATCTTCGCGACCGCATCAATGCAGGACATCCGTTGGGTGCTTACCAGCTCCTCCTTCAAGGAGTTGGGAATGGCTTTAAGGATCAGGTGCAACCCTCGCTGTTCTACACGAGAGAATCGCGTCCCTTCGAATCTATGAGGCTGATTGGGTTTGAGAGAAAGCCTTTCAACAGGAGTTGAGGTTAACCAACGCTGGTAATGATCAGTCGATGCTTGAAGTACTTGTTTCCACCATTCAGCGCTATTTGGACTTAAATCTTTCATGACCGGACCTGCCAAAGTGAGCCAGTCACCAGCTAGAAGAGGCGAGACCTCCTTATCCCCATCATTAATGACCAGCTTCTGAAGCTCAGCCGTTGAAGTTTTCACCTCCTCAGCTCTCCCGTCATGGTCTCCACCATGTGTGGCGAAAACCCGTTTCAAGCCATTATAAAACCACTCCAAACCTTCGTGTCCCTCGGAACTCCCACCGACAGAGCCTAACCTGCCACTGCAATCGTTTGTGAAGGAATCGCCCTCAACTCTCACACTAGTTCCCCGCATTTCGCTTGGAACTTCCGGTGGAGCCGTCAATGATGGAAGACTTCTGGGTAGATTGCTTGCCGGCCAGGGATAAGGTGGGGACACTACAGGTTGCGGGGCCTTTACATCAGGAGACTTCGGAGCAGCCGCAATTGGCGGCGGTCGGATTTCAGTGCCACCTGGAGAGATGGGATAAACAATCGTAGGCTTGATCACCTTAGGAGTCCTTTCACCCGGAGCTTGCAAGACCTCAGGAGCAGCAGCCACCGGAGCATGAGAGCAAGGGTTATGGGTGGGATCCGATGCCGATGCAACCAATGACCTCAGAGCTCTCTTTGAAGCTACGGGACTTTCAGACAACCCCCTACGCCTAACCGGACTACCACTTCTGGACCTCGGGGGCCGATTTCCTGCAGATTGTGGCTTAACCTCAGAATGAACAGCCTGAAATGGGGACAAAGCTCTCGAACCAAATACGTTAGCTTGGGAGTTAGGCTTCGTGGTAGGTTCAAGTTGTAGACCTTCCGACGTCAAGCGCCAGGCGTGTTCAACTCCCGACACCATCACCAACCCAGATTTCTCCTCACCAGACCCCGCACTAGGATCAGCGCCCCCGGATGCACCAGCTGGAGACAGAGGGGTTTGGGAGTTATCCACAATGGGCAGTCCCGGAAATGCATGCTCTACCCTAGCCTCTACAGGACGTTCTTGGAGCTACCGCCGATGCTGCCGACTCAACTCCCAACCGCATCCTCTGAAAGTCGCTCGCCAAGTCATGTTGGGCGCTCTGTCTCGCTTCCATAGCCTCTAGTCGATCCATGAGTTGCCCCAACAACGGAGTCACCTGACTTTGAAAGATACTCAAAACCTGCCGTTGTACCGCTGCTTCCACTTCCAACCCTCGCTCAGGATTGACCCTTACCTCAGCACTAGGCTCATCAACGTCCATAGCTGCGGCGCGAGCGGTACCCCTGATCTGAATATCTTCCGCCCTTTTAGACCCTTGGAGGTGCGAGCCACTGCCCTCTGGGACAACTGGCATGCTTGCATAATCCGGAACCAGCTCATCTTCGTCTGGATCCCACTTTGCAGCCATACCCCCGCCCTCCATGCGTGACAACTCACTGTGACCAGGCGATGCCGGAGAAGCTCTGGCAATCTGTACCGGCGGCGGCTGATTACCCACTTGGGTTGGTGCTTGCTCTAGACCACCTCTATTTGGCTCATCACCTTGAGATGCCAGTGCATCTGCATAGTTAGGCTCTGCAGCATCATCGCTAACACCACCGAGCAGCAAAGGATCCATAGCCGAAACTTCGGATTCTTCGCCCATTTGCAGCGCTTGCGTAACAGACTCGCCCCAACCAGCAGCAGGCGTTTCAAGGTTGTGTTCCATAGCGGCACAGGATTTAGAGCGTTGGGCTCATAACCCTTGTGAGGGTTAGAGCGCACTTCTTTTAGGCACAGGCAACCAAGATACACATCTGCGAAAGCCACTGTATACTGTACAAACTTTCACTCTGTAGCGTGCTACTTCGGATACTCTTTGGCTGCTCGAATGTTCTTCGTGATTTGTGCGTGTTATTCTTGCAGAAAAAGGGGCCATGCCTGTGAGCCTAGTCCGCCTGCCAGATGATCTTGCACAGCTCTGCTGTCGCCACCGCTGCAGGCACCGAGGCTCGTACCTGAGCCAGGCCATTCTGATCAAATCATTCACGCTAGAATATTTCGGTTCGGGAGCGGTCAAGGCAGCCTCACACAAACCTGACGAAGCCTTTAGGTGCCTACAGGAAGTGTACGAACGAACTGCGGTGCTGACATCGAACTGCTCAGAAACAGTGGCAAGTTTCTCACCTTTGATACAAAGTTTCTTTCAGCGTTATTTTGGGTTGCCAAAGGCGAACTTGTCCGGCAGATCATCAACTACAAAGAGTCCGTGTCCGAAGCATCTGCAGGAAGGGCTGTCCGAGGTAGGCAAGTTTTGCTCACGATTGAACGTTACTTTAAGACCAAGGAAGGATCTTCTCAGGGCCAGGCACAGCGGTGACGTCCTTAGTACTTTCACTCACAATTGGGAGTCAGTGATCGCGGGGCTCAACCACCAGCCAGGGCCCAGTAGACACTGATACGAACCATGAAGTCTACATAGAGGCACTTGGCAGTTTGTTCAACTCCCCATGTCATTGGCCAGCGGGTGAGGCACCACATTCTGGGCCCCAATAAACGTGATCTTGGGGGTTGATTGGGTGAGGTTGTTGATTCTTAGAAAACATAGCTTGGTGTTGAAACTCTACTATGAAAAGATATAACATCGAACAAACATCGATTTTTGTTGCATAGGCCATTCATTGTTCCGTAAACCTATCTAAACGTCTTTGTCTCAAGAATTGGCACAAGACTCCCATCGGTTTGATATGCGATATACCTGGGAGGTTTGGGGACCCAGCTGCCGAAATAGAAATATCATCGTACGCGAGGTGATCGGTGCTTCCTGTCTTTGAACAAGAGGCCGTGCAAAGGAGGAGGCTGGGCCTCCTGATCGGTGCCTCCTGCCCTTGAGGGAAGAGGCCAGGTGAAGGAGGACGTCAAGCCTCCTGATCTTTGTATCTTGATCTTTGGCACTGGCCAAAGAACCTGCCAGACTCAAGAGCCATTCTTTCCAGTCAGAGAGTGGCTGAAGCCAATGGCAGGGAGCGCATGGGGGGGCCATGGCAGACCAACCAGAGCCCATGTAATATTGCTCTTGCATACATGTTGATTCTTATGACCCTCCACGGCTTCACTACTTGAGCGATGCATGGTTGCATGCTGACATGGTTCAGCTAAGGATGCACAAGCACAGTTTTGAAGTGCAACAGACGTGAGTTCGAAACTCCTCCTCTCCTGCGGCACAGAAACCCGAACACTCAAAATCTGGACTGATGCGACCTCGCATCCAGCTCACACGGATGGGGCCCTGGCAATCATGACGACGAGTTCAATCCGGACATGTTTATGCATACAGTGGCATACATCGGCACTTTGAAGCTTGTTGTTCCCCTCCATGAACACGCTCTAGCGTTGGTCGGTCTTCCGGATGTACCGATACAGCCCGCGGGCCTCCTTGCAAACGCGTTGACTCGTATTCGCGGCCGTGCGAACACCACTGGCATGGACTTGCGTCGTGCATCCTCGTTTTGGAATCGCGGCCCGCGGCTCAAGGATTTCTACTACCCGCCCTGCTTCTACCGGTTGGCTGATTATCCACCGTATGAGTGGCACGCGCAAATCATGCATGCAGCCCTCCGTGCCAATCGTGGAGAATATCCGATCGGCAACGCGGGCCAGATGCATACGAGGACTGGAAACGAGCCCACGAGGCCTTCTTACTGGAGGGCGGCCTCGACACCGGGCTGGCCTATATGTTCCCGTTTTATGATGTGCTCCCGATTCCCAAAGCGCTGCTCGGCCGGCGCTGGATCGCCGGGAGCGAAAACAATATCGAAAGCTGTACCTGTTATCTGATCGGCGCATGATCCGGCCGGCGGATAGTTGGCCGGCCACCTCTCCTGTGTGAGGCGTCACGGCTCTTATCTGCGTCTGCGTGTTGCGCTTTGTCCTGTGTTTCTCCGGCATGGCTGGATTTTGCCACGCGCCGATGACTTGGTGGTGCTTCTTGCATCGGGATCCAACATATGTCCCCCAAACCATGCCCCTGCCGCCCGTATATGCAACAATGCTATCGCCTGATCCGATCCTCTCGATTTTTTGCGGGGCTCGGGCTGCCGCCAGTTCCGACACTTTCGATGTTGGGGACTTGCCTGAAATCCTGCTGGTTGCCGCCGTCACCCGTCCTACATCCAGGGCCACACACCGCTGCCAGGATTCCAGCATGGCTTGTGAAATCTTTTCTGCATGGAGTTGTAAGGGAGTTGTGATTCACATTTATCTGGCTCCGTGCTTCTTGCATGGGGACCGGTTGTGGCTGGTCCTAGCAATGGTCCCGATTCAACCTGTCATGGCACTGTGTCAGGCAATGGACTTTGGACTTTAGTCTGCGCAGCGGCGAGGGAACGGTTCCCGGGGGGCTGTCCGTTGTCCGACGGGACGAGAACGGCGGCCGGAGTCTCGCGTTTGGACTCCACCCTGGTGCTGCGCGGTCTAGAGCGACGGCTCTCTTCTGCTCCCGACCTGCTGCTGAGGCCTGCGCTTAGTCAGGTAGTTAACTGAACTAACTGAACGGCTGTTGTCGACCAAGTCTACAGGCCGCAGTTATCGATAACGCGTAGTAGCCTCCATGTTTCACCGCTGTCTCGTTGTTTGCTTTAAAGATGATTCGAAGGTTTCGCTTGGGACTGAGCGCAGCAGCCGCTGCCATCGAAGCCCGCCCAAGCCAAAAAAATGCCTCGTATGCCCGGGTATGTGATCGTGTAAAGGCGCAACCATCTCAGCATTGCCGGATACCCGTCAGACAACCGGTGTGTCAGCGAGCAAATTCATAGAGATGCCGACGACGGCCAGAAGAGCTGTGAATGCTGTTGCGATGTCCACAGGACCCTGCGGTCCAGTACCGCATCATTGCGCATGAGGGCACTCCAGAGAGAAAAGGTTTTCGAAGCGTCGGCGGCTCGGTTATGCACATCGTCGGGAATGCAAGCTGCTGCAAGTCTCCATCACCAGCCAAGGGCTTCCGAAGGATCGTGCCCTCCGCGAACTGGAGGTAAGACTTTAGACGGTGGCGGAGGGGCACGTAGTCATCCGCCTCAATATCGGCCAATTTGGAAAACGGGGACAGCCGCCATTTGGCACGCCTGCAGAAAGGAAGGCACCATGTGTGTTTCCGCTTCCAAATGACATCGGGGTCGTTCGGCATGAAACTTCCATTCGCAGCGCGCATGAGGGCGCCCTCAAGAAGCTTGTGGGGCCAGTTCTTGGTGGAAAGGACGGCGTGAGTACGGTTCGGGTTGTACCTCGTGACGAGGAACGAGTTACGACTATGTGTGCCATTCTGGATAAAGTCCCCCATCAGGGGGGGGTAATTTTGAAGTAGAGGGGAGAGAAGGGGAACTTGGCTAACTAGCCAAGCGAGAATGGCGGCCTCTCCTCGCACCCCTTCTGCTTCGCGAACGGAGAGTCCCAGATCACCGGCTACGACAGTGGTTCCGGCTAGTCCTGGGGGAGAGCATCTGGAGAGTCCGTCCATCCTGCCGAGGGTTTTGCCGAGCGAGCAGGATGCGGGACCGAGTTCTCCACCCGGTCGGATAGGAAGCCCCATTGCCCTTCCGTCCTTGAGGGATAGCGCCTTGGTACAGAAGCGTGCGGTGCTGGATAGGTACCACGAACACTTGGCGTCGCGGGGCTTCGGTGTACTCGAGCTGGCTACCCTTAGTCTTGAGGACGGGGAAGAGGTTGGACACCAGGTAGCTGAGGAACTCGGCGTGGGCGTGGGCTACGACGAGTACATCGGGGACTCGATCTATCTCTGGATACAGGAGGCCCGTGAAGCTAGGGACCTTGTTGAGAGGACTTCTGGCTACAGGGCTACATCGTTGGCCTGGATGAACCTCAGCAAGCGGCCGGCGATTGAAGGGATAGACCTTCAAGAGGATAGCGAGCCAGAACCTCCGAAGGGGGATAGGAAGAAACGCTTGGTCAACGAGGGCTCCCTGGCACAGGCGAGAGAAGAACGGCTACAGGCTACTTGGGCTACCAGACTGAAGGAGGAGCTAGAGCTTTGCAAGGCTCCTGTCCTGAAGAAACTTCAGGGCAGCCTGGACCCGGATAGAGCCATACTGGCGCTAGCTGGGAAGACGCGGGCTAGTACCCTCAAGCGCTACGTCTCCATCTACGCCCGTTGGCGCCTATGGCTAGAGCAGGCGAAAGATGGGCGACCACCAGGGCTACCCGCAGACCTCGCAGACTATATCATGGCTAGGGGCGATGAGCCCTGTGGAAGAACCGTCCCGGAGGCTATCCTCAAGGCGGTTAGCTGGATAGAGCGAGTGGCGGAGTGGTCGGTCGAGGCTAGAGCAACCTCTGGTCGGATAGCGTGGGCGATCAAGGACACGGTGGTCGAGAAGCTATCGTGGAAGGCGCCTTGGACCAGGAGAGCACCCAGGTACCCGGCGGCCATCCTGGTTAGATGGGAGCGGCTAGTCTTAGATGCTAGCGTCGCCGTGGGGTGGCGTGTTTGGGCCTGGGCTAAGCTCTTGAAGGCTTGGGGCAGCCTTCGTTGGTCCGACCTCCAGGCTATGATCCCCAATGAGCTGACCATGGTGGAAGGCAGGCTATCGACGATCTTGAGGCGAACCAAGACGACTGGGGCTAACAGACGCATCCGGGAGCTACCTGTTTGCATCTCGGAGAGGGCGTACTTCGAGGACCCTGGCTGGCTACTCGCTGGCTTCAACCTGCTAA